AAAAGACTATCTCCAGGGATTCCTGAACAGATTTTATATAGTCATTTCAATTCTGTCTGGAAAAACTGGCGCTTTGCCAGCCAATGTTTTTAGTGCATTCTAGGGCCCAGAAAGACAGGACAGTATAAACTATGGATAATTAAAGATTTAAGTGTTTTCTTAAAGTCTGAAAGTTTGGGATTCTTTGTGTGCTTCCTATGTCTTTTTTATGTCTCTACTTCCATACTTCTGAAACATAATGAACAGTGAGTTATACAGCTCCCTAGAAGTTAGACATACCTAGGTTCCTAAAATAACTTCTACTTAAAAGATGGGTTAGCCAGCTCACTCTTCTAATGTGTGTGAGCTTGATGCTTACCAAAGTTATCTTCAACAAAAGTTGGCGCTGATCTTCCATACTAATTGGTGACATCTTACAGAGAAAAGTTGCTGCCTTCATAGTTTATTCTTGTGATGATTAAGACATGAAATAAGATCCACTGTGAATGAGAGTTTGAAAAGTGGTTTTCTTTATCTTAAGCCTTTTTTTTAACCAACAATGTAAAGCAACAAGTCTTCTGCATTTCTGGGATACCATGAAAATCATTTTTTTTCTATTCATGTGCTCTTGAGAGAAGTTCTATCTGAAGTTTGTTCTTTGGTCAGACTTTTCTTACTACATGAGTCTTATTTTCACTGATAAAAGTAAAAACTCATTTTAAATATTTATCCCAAACAAGAGGCAAAACTTTGTGAATTAGAAGTCTCTGGAAAATGTATTTAAAAATATTAAATGAAAACATAAACAAAGTCATTTCTAAAACTACTGTTTGTATTAACTATTCCTTTAACTCATGGGTCAGCAACCTTTTAAAAATGCAGGTTACAGCTTGTACCCCACCTGCACCACAGCCATCATTCCCCTACAGCTGCTCCAGGAACAGCGAGCAGAGGCTACAGGAAGGCAGAACAGCCCCCCGTCTGGGCTGTAGCAGCTATTAGCAAAACACAGCCCTGATGAAACTTCTGAGGAATCAATGTACCCCTAGTAAAATGTGAACCAGATCAGAACTCCATGAGCTGGATCAATTCCTTTGCCAGACCCTGCCTGGTTTAGCTTGTCAGAGAGACTCATTATAACTAACTTCACCTGAACCCATTCCTTTCTGAGTGGAAGGGAAAGCAATAAGGGTGATGTCATGATGGGGATCTGCCATAGACCACCAGACCAGGAGGGAGTGGTGGATGAGGCTTTCTTCAAA